GTCCTAAATCTACAGACACTGCAATTAGATGCTGATCTCCTGTGCACTGGAGCCAAATAACTTTCCATGATTCTAACTTCACCTTTCAGATACTGTTAGTTTACTGGTACTGTGTAGAGAGTCAGCAAGAAAGAGATGGAGAAGTCCTTTGGGGGGGCTTTCTGGGTTTTTTTTTCCCCCAGAACAGTCTCTTGACCTTTGAGCTCGCAGAGGTGGCCAGTTTCAACAAGTTTCACTTTTAAACATGTAAAGATTGACTCTTAATCAGACTTATCTTGGTTCAGACTCATCTGATCTTGATAAAGCCTACCGAAGAGTTTTCAAGCAATAGGAGAAGTCCAATAAATGCTCGCAGTCTCAACTCGGCTTAATCCCAGGTTGCCGATGAAATGTAGTAAGGGACCATCTCTGGTGCATGTAAGGGGCAAGAAGCCTGTTCCAGTTAAGCTCAGCACTTACTCTTGCCAGATAAAGATTCTCAGCTGCAGTAGTGTATAGGACACAGAGAGACTGGGCTAATTAGTTTCCCTAGTTTATGGCCACCAGCTGCCAAACGCTTAGTACCACTAAGCCAGAAAGAGGAGATGTGGATCATAAACTGTCATCCTTGCTTTTACCAAGATGCTGTTGAGTTTGGGCCCTAACCAAACCGCAAACACTGTTAGGCTCTTACAGAGCACACTTTCAAGACTTCATATGATGACATATCCTTATAGTTTGCTTTGAATTTTCAATACTGTACTTAACCACGGCGAAAAAATATCCAGTCATTTTATTTGACTCTGTTCTCCTTGCTGAGTAGGAGGGATTGTAGGTGGTGAGACCATGCTTGTCTCTCCAAGTGAACAGTTTGCAGAACCATTATGGCATGTGGGGAAAGCTGCCAGAAATCTGCAGAATTGTTTTGTGCAGTTCTGACTAAAAGGCTTAGCAATGATCTTGGTTTGCACAAATGATGCACATCTGCTTAAAGCATGTCTTGCAATACACCTCTTCCAAATTGGCTTGTATCTCCTGTAGCTTTGCATTTGACAGCATGAAGATATGTGTTTTTATAGTTTTTTGGCAAAACTTTGTAGCTTTACAGGATGGTTTTTGCACTTTTGCTGTGTTAGATGCCAGCAATTCACTCTTTCACTTTGGCTGCTTACATTCTGTATATTCTGCCTTGTCTGATAAATTCATAGGACTGGTTAAGACCACAGCTTCTGGCAGTTCTTTTCTAAAGGGGCAGCAAACTCCTTTTGTCACTACTACTGGAAATGGAGGAGCCACAGACAGTGCAGCCCAGTGAATGGCCATTGGACTGGTGCTGAGGAAATTGGGTTCCATCCTGTCTGCACCACTGGCCTGCTATGTGACCTTGCTGAAGCCACCTCTCTTCTTTGAGCCTCAGTTACCCCAGTTATATGCAATGGGGAAATATTATTTACCCAATTTTGTAAAAGGCATCGAGATGAAAGGTTGAAAAACACAGGAGAGGAATGTGTCTTTAGTTATTAAACTTCTTTGAATTCAAGGTTTGTCCCAACTTTGGTTTATGTGAATTGTTTTTCAGGATGATTGTAGTTGCTTTGTATTTACAGGCTATATAATATGTTGTTTTCTTAATGGTACTGCATCTAAATTTTGCATGCTTTGCCATAGCCTTGTAATTAAAAGCTGCTGTGTTCTTCCCCCAACTTTTATCTTCCTAACATACAGCAAAAGAGCCTGACAGGTAGTACAGGTTCACGCGGCAACATTGCTTCTACCTACAGGTAGTTTGTTGTCCCAGTTAAGGAGACAATACGCTCTCTTTTAAATCTTTATAGGGAAACGTACCCAACAGTAGTTTCTGCAGTGGTAGTGGAACGAAGGAACGAGCAATGGCTTACAATGCTGTGACGTGGCACTCCAACAGCCTCTTGCCACTGTGCAAATTGAAGCGCTAGTTTAACAAATATTGAGCCCAGCAGTTCCAGGGGTTTGTCTTATGCAGGTTGAGGCACTTAGCAATTTCTGTTGTTTCCCACCATTTTCTGTGTATGTCAGTGTTTGCTGCAAACCCTGTTCTCCCACCCTCGAATTTGGCTCAAGTTCTTAAGGTTGACAACTCGACCAAGAAAGTTGAAGGTTGCAGAACAGGGACTTGCTCCAAAGATTGACAATAGTGAGAAGACTCCTGTTAAGGCTTTGTATCAGGAATACAAGTCAGTAAAGAGATTTTCTTCCCCTTCAGATACAAAGTAATTATTGCAATTTTCATTGCAACTTTAATAGTTTGTTTTATTATCCACAGAGTAATCACTGTGATTTGCAAATCAATTCATGGCTCCCTTAGTGCAGTGTGTACTGCAGGCATTGTAAATCCTGTTAAATCACTTGTCTCTGCTTTATGGATAAAGGGGGAGGAGAATGGAACAGTGTATCAGCACTGTGCAGAGTCCTGTTATGGCAAATGCATGTTGTGGATTATGTATTTCTAGTGTATACAAAGAAATCTTGTTTTTTGTTGGGTTTTTTAAAACTTTTTTTACCCATAACTAATATTTCAAGAAATAAATTGCTGACTACCTTGTGTAATGGGTAACAGTGGTTCTCAACCTTTTTAGACTTGAGACATCCCTGGATGGGCAGTCCAGGCACTAGCACACAAGGTGAGAGAAAGTATAGGCTAGATTGTAGAACTCAGCAGGCTCGACTTCAGCCATCAGCTGTGCAGTTTCTGCTGGTCCCTCTGGTCAGTTTTTCTTGAGCATGGTAAATGGCTACATCGCTAATGCAAGGATTGTGCCCTTTAATTGTAATATTAGTCATCATTAGTTTGAACTTTTAATCTCTTTGACAAATTAAAAGCTGCTAGAGTGAATAAACCCTGAATCAGAGGATGTCACCAACTCCCATGGGTTTGCCAAAGCAGGTGATAGGCTTTTAAAAAGAGCACACTCATGCTTGTATTTTTGTCTCCCTTTTTGTAGTAGGTATTAGAGCATAAACTCAGTGGGTATAAGCAGGACCTCAATATACTCTCTGGCTGCTTGCTGGGTGGATGCACCTCTTGTGACAGCTCTTGTCTCAGCACTAAAAGTTGCTCACCACCAGCTGCCATATTTAAGAATGTCTCTGTGTCTCAGCAGGGTTCCAAGAGTCCTTAGTCAAGTTTCCTACAGACGGGGAGGATTAGGTAAATCTGGGAATATCACTCAACTATGACCCAACCCTTTAAACAGTTCAATGCCAATAAGATAAGGGGGAACTTTTAGAAAGAAGGTTAAATTCTTTTGGTGCATCCCTTTGAAACATTACAGGATTCAGTGTAATATTTGCAGTTACCATAGCATAACTGTAGAGATGATTATTTCATGCTTGACTTTGGGGAATCTATTTCTATTCTAATTGCTTACTGGAAGAAGGAGCAAGAGATCATAACTTCACAAGAGGAAAAACCCTGGGGCATTTTTACACGTGCAAGTGCCGCAGCACCAGGCGCTTTTTAGTCTCGCCTGATATGACAACTGTTCCAGGTCCCTGATCATTTTGGTTTCCAGGGGACTAGAACTACCCACGATGTTCAAGATGTAGCTACACCATGGCTTTGTATATTGGCATGTTTTGTTTTCAGTTCCCTCCTTAATGATGCCCACCATTTTATTGACTATTTTTGGTCACCACTGCACACCGTGCTTATGTTTTTAAAGGTCTGTTGAGACACCAAGGTCTCTTTCCTGAGTTGTAATAGCTAGTTCAGAACGCAGAATTGCGTACGTATAAGTGAGATTATTTTTCCCCAGGTGCATTACCTTGCGCTTGTCGACACTGAAGTTCATCTGCCATTTTTTTGCCCGCTCACTTAGTTTGGTGAGTTCTTTCTGCAGCTCCTCTCCACAAGCTTGGGACTTGAGTACCCTGAATAATTTGGGGTCACCTGCAAGCTTAGAGGTTTGATTGTGCACTTGTGTTTGCAGGTCATTGATGAAAATAATGAACAAAACTGGGTTCTGCACAGATCCCTGAGAAGTGACCATTTAACTTTATCTTTTAACTAGCTCAGTTCACAAAAGAACGTTCCCTTCAGTCCTGTGGCAGTGTAATTTTGGTAAAAGCCTTTGGTGAGGGACATTGCTAAATGTTTTTTGAAAGACCAAATATATTAGCATGGTGATATTTCTGTTGGTTGATTACATTAGGAAGTTGCATGCTAGAGTTTCTTAGAGAAGCTTGCTGAAGTGAAGCCAATTATCAGACCTTTTATGCTTCTGTGTCAGTCCAGTTATGTCAGGATAATAATTTAAGAGGAAGAAAAAAATCTAGTTATCACAAATGGAAAAATCTCGGTATTGAAGCAATATCTTTAAAGGGGTACCATGATCCTGGCAATCATTAACTTGTAAACAAATAAATTTCTCCGTTTTAATATGACCCCTTAGGTTAGTAAGAATACTACAATTTGTCCATGCTATTGAACTTTCTTGCATTTTTCTCAACCTAGACAATGAAAATCCAAGTAATTAGTTTATCTTCAGAGCTCTTCATCCTGTGGCTTGACATTGGAGAGAGTTTTACTGGTTAACAAGCAACAGTTTTGTTGAGAATTTTTGCTTTATTGTAGAAAACTTTTTGGTAGATATAAGTTGTTCTTACAGTGATTAATTTTTATATTCAAGTTTGATGCTTTCTCTTTTGGGAATACAATTCTTTTTCTCTCTCCTGTCCTTATGTTAACCTCCTTCTGAATTATATGCCCAAGTAAAGCTTTTCATTTTTTACACCACAAGGATGAGTGATTATTTTTGGTGACGAGTGATTTATTTTTGGTCATCTAAGAAATTACTGAACAGTATCATAAAAGAGGTGCTTAGTGTTGTCACTTCTATTACATATTTGGTTTTTACTTTAAAATCTCTCTCTTAAATAAGCTTAATGGTGCCTTCATAATTTGTGGTTCCGGTTTGTTATTTCAGTCAAAGATTTTATTGTTATGTAAAATAGATCTTGATGGTTGTGATCTATTTTTCCAGATTTATTCACTGTACTGATGATTCCCCTGATCCTTCCTTGGACTATGAGGTAAGACTCCTCTTGACTACATTATCCTTGGAAAGATTGTCCCTTCTGCTTGGGAGGATACCAGTAAAACATTTACTCATAAAAATGCCAGACTAACAGCTCTAGAGAGTGAATGAATGGTGAGCGTGCAGTGCTGTGTTGGTTTTAATGTTCCAGATGCAGGGCAGACAATATTGCCTGCAAACTTCTCCACAGTTTTCCCACAACGTGTGGGGTGGCGATGGGAAAGGAATAACATTTTAATGGTTGGAAGTTATATATTAGAGCCTAATATATATTAATATATATACTAATATATTCAAGACCATTAGAGACTAACTGGTTCAGAGTGGCATGAGTTTTTATAGGCAGCAACTGACTTCAGAGCCTTTGAACCGGTGAGTTTCTAATGTGCCACCCTTCCCTACCCTCTGCCTGACTTAAACTAACGTGGCTAATCACTTCGGACATAGTGTGCATTAGTACCCCCTTTGTATGTTCATATATCTTTGTTAATTACTGTGTTACACTATTACTTTGTCATGCTACTCACATTAATTTGCATTTAAATACAGCACCTGTAGTCTCAAAATACTTTACAAATGTGAATGAAATAAACCTTAAGCTATCCCAGAGTGCTTTAGAAATGTTAGGAACTAGGCCACTGGGAGGCCCAAATTTTCAAGTTTCCGTTAAAAGTAGGAGTCTCACTTTTGGTTGCCCGATGAGAGACATGTACGACCTGACTACAACAACTGGGTTCCAAGAGCTTGAGCAACCTAGAAATTGAGGAACCCAGAGTTTAGTGAGCACTTGTCCTCCAGACACAGAGTTCATGGAGTAACCAAGGATAGAATCCAGATCTTCTGACTCCCAAGGTGTTTTAGCCTCAGGACAATCTTCTCACTTGACTATAATGTTGATTTCAATTACAGACCCCTATACTGAGGCATTTGTGATGGTTTTTACATTCAGAAGATATCACAGGAGGTTGCTTTGGCATGTAACGGAGGGAAGGATTAGCTTGTTTAAATTTAACTCAACCCCTTAAGTATTTAGTAAACAGTTTTGGGTGAGGGTGATCTTCCTGCCGAATCCCTTGATGATTTTGTTGTTCTGTGCTAATACTGTTTGAATATACAGTTACAGTGGAAAAAGCTCAGTTTCCTTCTTTTTTCCCCAACTAAAGCGTAGTTTTGAATTTCTGGATCAGAAACCCTGTCCATGTTAGAAGGCTGTAAAGGAAATCTGACCCGGCTGTGATACGTTACAGAATGCTTTATTCCTAGCTACTCCAATACAGGTCAATGGAGAAAATGTATTCTTCCCAATCCAAGAAAAATTGGTGTTTCATGTAACTGAATCTTGCCTGGAAAAAAAATAGATGGGGATGTTAGAATGAGGGAAGGAGAGGAAAGACTTTTCATTCAAGTATTCATGCACCCGGGGAATTAATGTTGCCTTAAGCCAATAGTTCTCAACCTTTTTAGACTCGAGGTTACCTCTGTTTAGATTCAGGACACCCCTCAAAAATGACTTATTTTTTGACTACAGAAAAATAATAGAACAATTCCTCTGTTACAAAGAACTCATGAAGACTTCAATAGGGCAGAATAGTTCTTAATACTATGGCTTTCTATCTGAAAACTTTGGGTTTCTGTTGAGAATCATGTGTGTACACCTAACATGGCTAAAACTGCAGTTGAAAAACTCCCTTGGTAAAAAAAATCCCAAGGTACCTCCGGGTGCTGTGGCATACTGGTTGAGAATCACTGCCTTAAACAGTGGTGACTGGTTGGGTCTTATGCAGTTGATATCAGTGTCTTGTGTTTGAATCAATGGGAGAGTCTTTACAGCATGTTTACTGCAGTATTTTAAACTCTTCAATCACAACAGAGTCTATGCTGCAGTAATATATATTACTCTAATAATGTTCCAGGTGTGTGACTGAAATGAAGCTCCTTTTAAAATTATTTTTATTGCTTTTCATATGTGAATTCTAAGCCATTTTAGTGTGATGCAGAGAGAGCAAATGGGAAGAATTATAGTCTACTTATCAAATGCAATTTTGCTTTTATGTGATAGCTTAACACATAAATAGGTAACAAGATAAGCCAAACTTCTTTGAAATATTTCCGCCAAGGTAATTACATAGACTATAACTATGGATTTTTTGGTTTCCTGTATCAAGAATTTCCCACAAGATTATTTTTCTCAGTTACAGCAAATACTGTCATAGTACCACAATGTTTCTTTTGACAAAAATTGCCAATTAGCTCCTCTTTAAGCCATACTTGGATGTGTCTTTTTATTTTCTTCTTTCTATAGCTTGTCCTTCGAAAATGGTGTGAATTAATTCCTGGTGCAGAATTCAGATGCTTTGTCAAGGAAAACAAGCTTATAGGTATGCTTTTTTCATTTAAGGTTTATTCTTATTCCCTTTTAATTACTGTAAAGCAGCCAGGGGCAACATTTTTGGCAGGCATGCCACAAATTAGCCGTGCACTTTCCCGAGTGCCACGTTGGATCCCTTTCCCCTGCTTGCTCTGCTTTCTGCTTCCTGTCTGGTACTCCCTGTCTGCTCTGATGTTATGCTTTTTGCCCTGTGCCCTGTCTGTCGCTGCACTGTCTATCCCCTCCATTGTCTGGACCTGCCACACAGAGGCTGCCCATGCCACTTACGGCACCCATGCCAGAGGTTGGCCACCCCTGTTGTAAAGCGTGGAAATGTTTCTTCCCTTACACACCACTGTGTCACAAACAGTAGATGGGGATCTGTCTGGTCAGTGCACAGAGAGCCAAGTTTGTCCATTTTTGGGCTGGGAAGTTCAAAGTGGAAGGCAGGTCAACTTTGCCCCGTATAGACTAACTAAATTAGCTAGAGCTCACTTAACCAGATGCTGTGAAAGGACATGCACAAACCCGTTTATAAAATGGAGAGAGTGATGTGAATAAAAAGGTAGAAAGGGAGGGAGAGAGCAGAGTAGGAAGGGGGCAATGATGGGAGAGGCAACAAGTGAAAAACCCATAGGAACAAGTTCCAAGTGACCACAGTGTACATCAGTGGCAAAGTCCTTTATTACATAAAAATACACATTTTTGGCTGATTTTTTTTTTCAGTTGATTTTTCTGAAAATAATTCAAAATTTGCATCATCATAGTCAACAAGCAGTCGTCATCAATGGCTCAATGTCTAATTAGGAGGAGGTATCAAGGTGGGTTCCTCAGGGGTTTGTCCTAAGTCCAGTATTGTTCAACATTTTTATTAATGATTTGGTTGATGGGATTGAGTTATCACTTGGCAAATTTGCTGGTGCCACTAAGTTGGGTGGTGTTGTAGACCTTCTGGAGGGCAGGGCTAGGATCCAAAATGACCTGCATTGACTGCAGACCACTTTTCCAGTTAATCAAGTCAGATTGAGCAAGGACAAGTTCAGTTTGCATTTGGGATGGAATAATTGCATACTCAGATACAAACTGGGGAATGACTGGTTAGGCTGCAGTACTGCAGAGAAGGACCTGACAATTGCAGTGGACTGTTAGCTAAATATCCACCAGTGTGTTCTTGTTGCAAAAAAAGCTACTGGATTGTATCAAGACAGTCACTTGCAAATCAAGGGAAGCAATTCTGTTCAGCACTGGTGAGGCCTCACTTGACCTCACAAAATTTGTTTAGGGTCCTGGTATGTGAAACTTGTATGGGGAAAGACTGAAAGACTTAGGGTTATGTAGTCTGGAGAAGAGAAGACTGGGGGGATTTGATAAGTCTTCAGGTACCTGAAGGGTGATTATAGAGCAGATGGGAATGGGCTTTTCTCTGTGGCTGTAGGTGATAAGGACTAGGAGCAATGGCCTCATGCTGCAGCAGAGGAAATTTAAGTTGAAGATTAGGAGGACCTTTCTTACTATAAGGATAGGCGAGCACTGGAACAGGCTACCTTGAGAAGTTGTGAAATCTCCATATTTGAAAATTGTTCAAGGGTGGGTTAGACAGACACTTGGCTGGAATGGTTTAGTCAGGGGCGAGCCTGCCTTGAACAAGGGGCTGGACCAGATGGCCAGAGTTTCCTTCCAGGCTTACTTCCCTGTGATTCCCACTTTCCTCGGATGGGGAGGCCTGACAGCCATGCCTGGAAGTGACACGCATAACATGTGTTGCAAGAGTGCACTTTTCCAGTTGGACAGCTACATCCCCAGAGCTGCCATCCTCTATTGACATGGTTTGGACCTGCAGTAGGCTTTGCAATAGCTGTTAATACTTAGAAATGGAGTTATCCATTTTTGCATGTACCATTTAAGAGTATGCCTCAAAATTGGACCATATGGACTTACAGTAAGAAATGAGTTCTGACATCATGCGTGTAATAACACAGATACAACCCATAGGTCTTCCTTATGGGATTTTTCTTGTCATTAGTAGCACAAGTTACTCACATTCTAGTGATAGAGAATGTGTTGATTTATCATATGTGCAGCAGGATTTTACAGTTGCTCACATTTATGTATTCAGTGTCAAAGCTTCTGTCACTTAAGATGCATGTTAAGTTTATCTGATTTGAATCATTCTGTTGCCATCAACATAAATTTATGTCTTTCAGACAGACAAAATACATGCATTTGTAATCCTCTGATTCAGGCCAGAGTGATTTGTGAGGCATGGGGAACAAAAGACCAGGCTGGAGTGAATTGGAGAAAGCCTTGAGTTGCATTTTAGGGGAACAAGTTGCTTTTTATGAGAGAGATTGTCAGATCTATGTTTAAAATACTGCAGAATTTAACACTGAAGAGTACTGTTGAAAGAAAGTGCTTCCTCAGACACCTTTTATCAAAGCCCTGCTCCTCTTAACCAAGTCAGAACTTACCTACACTCCTGGGCTCTGCCTTCTCTGTGCACATGCTGGCCTAAATTCTGTCGTTTGCACTCCACAGATCCTAGTTGCTCCCATTCATCATTTCCGATGCATCTCACCTCCCTCTCCTCTGCAGGGTGCCCAGCACTACATCAAGTCAGGAGCATGGGGGAGAGGTTTTTTGGCAGAGTAAATGGGTAGAAAGTAGCTTTTTCAAAGAACCCCAGCTCCCTTCCATATCCAGAGTGCACTAATTGTATAGTGTGGCCAGACAGCTGGCATCTCCTCCTTACCATTCCTGGTAACCCTGTAAAACTGACCACTCGCTAAAGGTATTGACCTCAGCTGAATGGGTGTCCCAGGGCTTAAATCAGTAATGCAGTGTAAGGGTTACATAATACCAAAGATTTCAGTCTTCTTGGTTTAGTGGTAGTTTTCCTGAATATCTTGCTAGTTTAGCTCAAGACACTTCCTTTCTGATTTTGAAAACTTGATAAACATGCCTTTCATTGTTTGTTAAGAAAGGAAAATTGCAAAGTATTTTCTCCTCTGTACAATATGCTCTGCCTATAGAACAGGCACTTTATAAAGATATATTTGTTTTACATGGGACTCGGTTGCCCCACCCTTTTCAGACCTTTCAGACATGCGAACTTGGAGAACCACATTTCATCATGAGCAGCAGTGCTGAGGACTGCTCCAGAAGCTAGGTGTACTGATAGAAGTAAAGAGCTGTGTTTGGTTTTTCTCTTGGGAACATCCATCAGTGACTCCTTAGCACTGGTTCAGGATTGTGGTGTTGGGTTCAAAAGAGTGTTCTGTTCAGCCTTTTGGGACTTGAAAGTCTGCCGCTTGTGGTCTTAATGGTTACTAAACACCTAGGAAATTGAAGAAACTTTACCTAAGATCCACTGTGGAAGTGGCAAATGTCTGAAAGTATGCCCACACATGTGTGGGCAATAAATACCATTCACCAGATGGAGGACAGAATTAATGGAAAGAAAATGTTAATATACTGAGGGTGCCTGAAATACCAGAGAATAAAGACAATTGCCTACAGTTGCTATTGCTACAATTCAAACATTATGATCTTTAATGTAATATAGACTACATTGTGCATCTTTCTGATAACTGGGTTCTAGTCATCCAATTTTTTTGCAGATCTGCACAACTCTAAAATATGGATGTAAAATGTGTATGGGTAATTCATTTAATTTAAATTTCTGACAGGTATCTCCCAGAGAGACTACACTCAGTACTATGAACATATCTCTAAACAACATGAAGAGATCAGCAGATCAATACAGGAGTTCTTTCAGAAACACATACAGTATAAATTCTTGGATGAAGACTGTGAGTACCTCTTTAAGTTTTGAATTGGAAAAAGAGGATGGTGGGTAAGGATAATATTTAATAGAAGGACTAAATGGATTGCTAGATACTCAGAGATTTAATTTTAAACTAGAGTCTGAAAAACTGATCCTTCAAGTGTGGGTTTTTTAAATGCAACTCTTGTTATCTCCAGAGGCAGATTTTAAGCTCCAAAAAGACTTTCAGGACCAGATGCATAGTAATGAGACCTGTTAAATTATCGTGTCTTGTCCTTTGCCGGACCAGTATTGTTTCCTACAGTAAATTCTGAAATCCCGTTATGTTACGTGGAGCAATGAAAGACCGGTATTTCTAGGTAGCAATTGACATTGCCAGTGTATTAACTTTACAGTCAGGTAATGTTCTTGTTCCCTCTGGCTGTATGCCTGTGCTACTCACTGGTTCTTTGGTATCTGTTTTACTGATTTAAAAGTTTTGTTTCATTAAAAATGCCAGCAGTCTATGGTGTAAACTTACAGAACAGTGCAATATGTTCTGTGGTAGAAAGTTGGTAATGATAAAAACTAAGAGAGTAGTCTGGATTCTTTCAGGGAAAAGTGTTGATTTGAATGATCCCTTCAAAAAGAGTTTAAATGCTTTTTTGCTTTATTTTCATTAGTAGTTTTAGATACTTCATTTTATTTTTAAATGTAAGGAAACATTAGTGAGTGGACTTTGGTGGGAAATATATGTGAAAGAATACCCAGGAATAAAAAAAGGAACATTATTGTATTTTTCTGCAGACCGACACTAGAAGACCATTTTCAAGATATTATATAAATCTATTAAAAATGCTGATACCCAACATCTTAGCTGCTCAGACTTCTGTTCATAATGGGCATGTACTTTATTTTTTTAGAGAATCGACTACTGAAGTAGTAGAAGTAAATTTGAGGGGCATCATGTGCATGGTGGTTGTTTTAAACAAAGCAGAAAACCTAGTACAAGTTCCACGCTGGAAACAGTCTCTTGCTACAGTTACTTAGTAGACTGTGGGGGCACCCCGCCCCCAACCATTATATTAGGCCATGATTAACATGTTAATAACAACATAAACAGGAAGGGTGCTGCATGTGTACCCCATTTAAGGTGCTATAAAATGAGGAATGAGCCATAAATACACGTAGAACATTTTTATAGCTCATTTATGTGGTGCCTTAAATTGAACACATGGCTTGGGCCAAGAATTGGCTGATTTTCAGCCCTGTGGGAGGCTGTGTTGGGGAAGAGCTTCCCCTGCCTGGCTGGACTGCCCAGTGCAGGGAACTGAGGCTCCCAGTGGGGGAAGCCTTTAGCTTGCTGTGCCAGGGCTTTATGCGCTACACAAAGCATCCCTAGGCTGCCTGGCCAGAGCTGCTCTGTATGGGGCTTAAAGTCCCAGTGGGAGGAAGCCTCTTTTCCCCCAATGCCAGGACTTTAAACCCTGTGTCAGGCAGCTCTGACCAGACTGCCCAGAGTAGGGAACAGAGGTCCCAGCAGTGGGAGTCTTGGCTTCCTCCACTGGGGACTTTAAACCCTGCGCTGAGCAACTGTAGCTGGCTGGGTCCACAACTGCACCAAGGCCAGTTCCATACCCTGGTGCAGTCACTGGGCCCAGCCAACAACTGCTTGTCGGTCTGACAGTTTGGGGCTGGTTCCAGACCTTGCTTTGGTCCCCAACTGGGCTGACATTCAGCTGATTGTCAGGCACCTGCCTTTCAACTTGTCAGTGCAGGGGAGCCCAGGATCATGGCAAGTAGGGCATGATTGGGATCTGATCCCCAGTCTCAAAATTGCATGTGGCATGGCAGGGTGCATGATTTTTGGGATCGGTGATCATATCCCATCATGGCTTTAAACGACCCATCTATCAGGGTCCTGGGATAGTGTCTCTGAGCAGCAAGTGATCAAGATTTGGTAAAATTCCCAATTCCAGATATTTTACACAGCTCAAGATGTAGATTGAAGCTCCCATCCAATTGAACATTTAATCTTGTGAGCTGAAGTTAGTAGGGTTATTCATGGTTTTAATGTTCATTTCAGTGGGATTTATTGTAACATTCATAAAGTTATGTGTGTGCTTAAGTGGTTTGCTGTATCAGTTTCATGATCAAATAGATCTTTCCTCTCTGACTTTCTAACGCACAGTACATGCCCACCCCTGCTTTTACTTAAGCATTAACAATCTGGGTCTGCAACATACTTCATAAAAGAGTTTAACTCTGGAATGCTTTTGACCTGAGAACAATGCATTAGTTTGAGGATTGGGCTTTATTTTGAGTACAGAGCTCTTATTTTTTTTATTGTTTTTTAAAATAAAAGCCCTGTACTTAACTACTAACATAATTGTAGCTGGTATGTAATCAGTTGCTTGTTAAGAATTCAGACTGATATTTTTAGAATTGGTGCCTACAGTCAGGCTCCTTGGGTGATGTCTGAGAAACTGAGAGTTTCCCTGGCTGTCGCTGTGAAGTTTTCACAGGTCTTTTCCCTCATACAGAGTAGACAGAGCTCTGCTTTCTGAGTTGCCTGTTGGGAAAAGAAAGCTGTAAGTAGGGGTGCACCAATAAAGATTTTCTGGGTCGATGCCAATGGCCAATTATTAACAAGCCATATTGGCTGATTAACTGTCAAAATACAGTCCTGCAGCTTGGAGAGCAGTGTCTGGCTGGTAAGTCTGTTGGGGGGGAAAGGAGCGGGACGGAGAGGGAAGGGATGTGGGGGGGCAGTGTGCAGATCGAGACCCCCCTACAGGGAGGGAGTGGGGTGGGTGCTGCACAGTTGGCACGGAGCACAGGATAGAGTCATTGTTCAGAGGGCACAGGGAAGGGAGGGCAGCTCCCGCTGCTGTGCGCACTTCTGGGGGAGGCAGGGGGGGACATGTGCCGGATTTGTGTGTGGGGCAAGGGCGGGCAACCCACTGGGGGCAGCACTGAGCTTTTCCCAGTGGGTAAGGATGGGCTGGGGCTGTGATCAGGCGGATGGTGGCACTGGGTGGGGGCCACGGAGTGGGCTATAGCCACTCCAGAATTTGCTGTAGCCCCCCTCTCAGCACTGCCACTGCCCTCCCCTAGTGCAGCCTGGCCCAGCCCCTCTGCTGGGAAGAGCCCAGCACTGCCCCCGGCCCCAGCCTGCAGTGGCAGTCCACCCTCACTCTACGCAGGGATCTGGGGGCACATGCTCCCCATACCTCCTGTTGGGGGTGGGGGGGGGCACACAGCGGTGGGAGCCCACCCCACTCCCTGTGCCTCGCTCCCCAGACAAGCTGCTCGCAGATCCATGTTGCATCCCACTCTTCATCTTTCCCTCCGCCACCTCGGTTAGGCAGCACCTGTCCCAGCCCCACTCCCTCCCTCACCACAGGGGCCTCAGTCTGCCTTGCACACGCACTCACACACCCCCTTTTCCCCACTTTTCCCTCCCAACAGACTTACCAGCTGGATGCTGCTCTCCAAGCTCCCCGGCTGGCCACATGCATGCTGCAGTTGTGCATGCACACACAGCATTTATCGGCAACATCATTGGCCGCATCAGCCAAAAAAAAAAAAAAAAGCCAATTGCTGATAATCTCAATATTCCTTTTATTGGTGCTGATACGATATGGACCAATGTATCGGTGCACTGCCTAGCTGCAGGTTACCTTCTGTGATGAAGACTTGCGCATCTTTAGTCTTGGGTGCTAATAAGCACTGAGCTTTTTTTCTCCAGGGCAACTAACTGCAGGGAAGCACTACACAGCAATAAGTTTTTGGGGGGGGGGGGTTTGTTTATGTCTATTGGTTCTGATTTTTTTTTTTTCCCCTCGCTTATCCCTTAACCAAATATCCAGTGGTTTGCAGGAAGTTGGTAGTTGTTGCTTAAATAATCAAACTCTTTTCATTCTGTTCCATTCTTTAAGTGGCAGTGGTCTTGTTTCCCTGGCAAGCTGTCAGTGCTTTATTGCTACACTGTGAGCTGATTGCCACTCAGCCTTTTCCACTTGGATTGGTAGCATCTCCAGATGGGAGTGTTGAGTAAGTGCAGCTGGAGTGCTGCAAACTAACATGTTTTAAGAAAAACGTCTCAAGCTTCTAAATACCAAGTGTGAGGAGGAATATAGTAGACCTTTATATCGTTGTTTGTCATCATCCTTATGAAAGATACCATTTTGATAGCAGTGTAGCCAGCCTCCCGTTTAACAACAGAACATATGGATCAGCATACACAATAGAAAACCTGTTTTTTTTTCCAGCTGAAATCCCATCAGGATAGGGGTGAAGCTGAAGGAGAGGGATAATGAAGTCTTCCTGCGTGTTCATTTTTTGTGTTGTGCTAAGATCACCAGCCAGCCAATATGGCAATTAGTACTAATTATAGTATGAATTCTCATCCACCAAAAATTGGGCTAGCACTACCAGGCAGCTATTAGATTTCAGTGACTTACATTTACTACTGACTTGGGCCTGACAGATGAGACATTTTGCAGTATGTTTTTATGCTGATTAAATGTAAGCATTCATACTTCATGTTCCTATTAATCAGTAAGCTCAAATAAGCACATGTGTTGGTAGAAGAAGCCTAATATTACTGCGCTTTCCTGTACAGGTGGATCACTGGTCTAGAGGCTCATTTACCTGAGCAGGTTGCATATGTTTAACTTCAGGGGTGATGTTTAAATTGATTTAGCAAAACTGGTGCTAAAGGTTGTATGAACACTTAGTTTAGCTACAGTCCATTGAGAAAAGGCTTACATTGAATTGAAACTGAGCATTCCTATATTGAAATAAAAGTGACCTGTGTCGGGGCCTGCTTGGGTTTCCCTAAATCAAAGGGTGGTGTGAGTGGAAAGCAATCAAATTGGTACATTAGCCTGTAGAGAAGGCCTTCGTTTGTGTATGATCCTGCATAAGAAGACAGTGCACCATGAAGTTGTGGGGAGGGGTGTTTGGTATTGGGCATTGTTAAAACTATGGAAAAAAAGATGCGCCGAAAGGCAGAACAAGGAAATGTCATAAGATAACCAACCTTGTTGACATCTCTGAACATGGAACAGACCTTGCTAGTCAGTGGATGTGCACATTGCACTAAACACAGTAGTTCCGGTATTGGTCCTCTGCCACTCCACGTGCCCCTGTCCACGCTGCTCGTTTTTACCTCTTGTTCTATTTCATTGTGTGCTGAAATTGTAATCTCTTTGGAGGAAGGGACTGTCTTTTATTAAATCTGTGTACAACATAGCCCCTTGACATTACTGCCAATCAAACAGTGATGACATAGAAGATGAAAGCTTTTCTCTGCTTAGAAGAGCTGATGAAATATTTTTGGATTGGAACAAAAATGCATTAAAAATTAAAGGGGGGTACTTGCTAGCCATGTCGGTCTGAGACAAAAAGACATACAAAAAACTAGAACGCTTGGTTCCAAAACGATTCCTTTTATTAGACCAACTGGAAAAATGGCAGGAAAATTGTGCTTTTCCTGTAAGCTTTCGGGATCAGAGTCCCTTCATCAGGCTCTAGGAAAAGTGTAGATGGTACAAGATGATAAAAAGTTCCCATAGGTAGGAAATAAACTTTATTTTTGCATAGAGGGAGCTGAAGATGGAAGTCTGTCCCTCTGGGTCCATGAGAGTGTCTTTGTGAGCTGTGTTGAGTAGCTCTTTGATGTGCTGATCAGGTAGAATTCCTTCCCTGGAGGTGTCAGACAGCAGGCAGGGGGGCAAAAAACTTCCTTGTTGTTCTGCAATGAAGTTTAAAATCCAAAATTGGCTGAAATTTGGCATCTTCCGTGTTTTGGGGGTGTACTTGGTAGCCGTGTTGGTCTGAGACATAAAGGTAAAATAAAAGGTACCCCTGAAACACGGAAGATGCCAAATTTCAGCCGATTTTGGATTTTAAACTTCATTGCAGAACAACAAGGAAGTTTTTTTTGCCTCCCTGCCTGCTGTCTGACACCTCCAGGGAAGGAATTCTACCTGATCAGCACATCAAAGAGCTACTCAACACAGCTCACAAAGACACTCTCATGGACCCAGAGGGACAGACTTCCATCTTCAGCTCCCTCTGTGCAAAAATGAAGTTTGTTTCCTACCTATGGTGCCTTTTTACCATCTTGTACCATCTGTACTTTTCCCAGAGCCTGATGAAGGGACTTTGATCCCGAAAGCTTGCAGAAAAGGACAATTTTCTTGTCATTTTCCAGTTGGTCTAATAAAAGGTATCATTTTGGAACCAAGCATTCTAGTTTTTTGTATGTCTTAAAAATTAAAGGGAAGCCTCCCTTTGTAAGGGTAATGGAAAATCTCTCAAGCTATGGACAAATATACTTTTGCTGCTTTGAAAGAGGAAGAGGATTTGCTGCTTAGAAGTACGCGATATACATTACGATCTAGCTGGTATAGCTGTGTGATCATGTAGCAAGAAGAGTTAGCTAAATGGCCCTAAAGTTTGACCCTGGATAAAACAGGGTTGTTTGCAGCAGTTTTGCTATATGTGAATCAGTACAGAATCATGTTGATACAGCAGTTGCAAAGCAATACCATATAGGTATCTTTTGCTATCAGTGCAGTTCTTGCACATGTCTGTACCTTTGCTGTTACACTCCCCTTCCACGAGTAAGCCCAGTTCTAGCTTTCAGTTTTGCAGATGTATTACATCTGGGATTGTGCCCTAGGCTTGTGTATCTGTTTAAGCATAGCTGTCTTGTATATGATCACCTGTATTTTAAAACTGACACATATCCCTCCTCCTTTCCAGTTGTGTTTGATGTGTACAGAGACAGCAAGGTAAGTGAACGATGGCTCATGTCATATTGTTGGAGTAGTCTTTATTAATTGCTCTGTGGAAGTGCTGAAGCTGCCTAAAATGACACTGAAGTGAAATGAATGCGGTGTTGAGTGAATTACAGGTATCTGTCAGCAAGTGGCTGCCATATGCTAGACATTATCCAGGACAGGACAGGACAGGAAGGTGGTTGGTGTGTTTGCGTACATGCGCATGCCAAGAATGTGGATGTTTTGCAAACTGTTTCCTCCAGAGAAGGGGCAGTTTATCTTAAAGCATGAAACTGTGGTTTCAGCTGCAGTTGCCTGACAAATACTCAGTCTTTAACAGAATCTTTGATAAGACTTTTTAAAGTGGTTTATGCTATCAGAAGAAACTGCTTGGTTAATTGTTAAGATTGCTTGGTAATTCCCATTTTAAGACCCTCATTTTAGATATTTAGAGCTAACTGTTTAGGGTGAATTTTTGTGAACAAAAAGGCTGTGAAAAATGCACGGCCTTGCCCATGTTAAAAAAGTTTTGACAGCCTTTTCCTTGAACTGCTGCGGCTACCCCTGTGCTTTGGAACGGGGCTTAAAAATGTGGCCTTTCTGTCTAGGACAGGCCTTTTGCTGTGGCCCTGAATTTCCCAAATTTGGCCAAGTTAAAAGCTTTGGGAAAAGGGTAGCATGCACAATCTTCAGGATTTTAAGTGCCTAAAAATTCTGTCTTCAATGAATGTGCTCATGTTGCTCACAGCTCCCTGTACTGACCAGGGTAAAATATGGACCCATCCTGGTGGGTAACTGAGCATGTTTCAGGTGTGCAGCCAGGCTTTAAATACTCTAAGCTCAGGGCTACAGAGGTGGAACTGCTCTCAGCTGTTTCAAGCTGGAGCAGGGCTGGGAGCTGGAACTGAGCTGTTTTCCCTGAGCTCACACTGGGATTCCTCATCCCCAGCAGCCAGGTAGGAGCGGTTCTCTGAGCTGAATGCAGAGGAGACAAGCAGTTTCTCCTTAGCTGTCAAGACAATATGCTGGGTGCATGTATCTGTTAATTACTGGTGCAGCTCTTGGGCTCCTGGTAAACTGCCAGTTAGTCCTCTGGGGTTTGTCTGTATGGCTTAAAGCAGCACTGTGCTGACAAGCACCACACCTGCTGCTTACAGGCTGAGCTCCTGAGCTGGAGTTAGTAGCCTTATTAGCCTCCAAAATTTCAATTCAGTTTCTGAATTGTGTGCGTGCTGCATTGCTGCTGTTCAGAGGTAGCGCACACTGGAGGCAGAGTGCAACTCAGCATGGCACGACCTTGCACCATACCATGGATGCATTTAAGGCTTTGCCTTTTGCCTCTGCACGTGGGTGCCGAGTTTGCAAGTGTATTATTCAGCATCCCTTTAGCATCTGGATTACAGATGCTGATAAAGGTTGAGTCCCTTTCCAGGGCCTGTTCTGAGCAGCATGTTTTTACAGCAACCTCACCTGTAGTGTGGGAGCAACATCTAGCTCCTTCCTACTTAAAGTTTTTTCAACTGCAAATCTGTCTTGGATGGATGGATTTTTTTTGCCAGGGCTGCAAAATTTGGTAGAGCAAAAGAGCCATGCAGGGAGCAACTGAAACATACTGGGGACTTTGCTCCAAGTCCTGCTTTTTCAGAGGGAAGTGGGAGCAGTGTGTTTCAGCTGGTTGATGTAGAACATAAAGCAACTTCTCACATCTGCGTTCGGTACAGGCTTTCACATCGCAGAATCCAGCTCTTAAAAGCTCATTTCTATTTTTCGTCTTGTACTGAGTCTTTCCAATTTAAGTTAACATTCGTTCTCTCTCTCTCTCTCTCTCTCTCAGTTTTGTGGGGGTCGCTCTTGTTACTGATGGGGTGGCTTTGCATGCCAGCATGCAAAACATGTTTAACACAATCTTAAAAGCCAGGTGGTCTCCAGAGCCAGGCAGGCAACACTACAAAGGTTGAGTTAGCCCAGTTTCATTTGGATGCATTTCTTCAGCTGTTAAGTAGCTGGGACTGAGTTATTTAAAGAGCTGCCTAAAGACAGCTGTAGTGCAATGTTGTATGAACTGATCCCTGTACGTGTGTCTTGCATACATCCCAGGTCTTCAACAATTTGCAAAGGTTAAGCTTCTTAGATAAGCTTCTGTAAGAGGGCAAGTATAATGGGGGTATTTCAGGCTGCTGTTCGTTTGCAAATCTTAAGTTACAGTAATATTAGTGCTCTGTTGACTCACAGGTGCTGTCATTGTGGGCAGTTCAGCATTTTCATTTTATCTGTACTGGCTTGGCACTTATCTATCTTGTAACTTCCTTTGACTGCCCTTTGTTTTAGGCACTTCCTTGATGTGGTAATGCTTTTTATTAAAACTAAAGTTGCTATATGTCTGTGGGTGTTAAGCAGAATTGCACCGTGTCCTCAGTGTGTTTCTTCATCACATGCAAAACTTTGCCTAGATTGCTTATGCACTTATCTGTCTCGCGTGTGATAAGAGATTGCCGATATTGGAAGCCTGCAATAAAGAGCTTTAGCCCTGCTGTGAAGCTAGAGGATGAAAGTGGTCTTGAACTATATTTTAGGGCCATGTGCTGCATTTGCTTCAGTTTGCTTTCCCTTAGCATGAACGCTGTTCATGGACAGAGATAAACACTTCATATTTAACAACACCTGTCATGAAATTTTTTTTTCGATTTCATCATTTTTTAAAGCCTTCAACCAGCCATTTGCAGTTACCAGAGTTCAGTGAATATTGAAGAGGATCTTTAGCAATCAGCCAGTGCTGTGGATGAGCACTGTATCTACAGAAAGTGGAAAGTATTGCTGTGGTACCAACAGAAGCATCTGTTCCTCTCACCAATCCTACAGTCTGTCTTCTAGTATGAAATTCTCCAAAGTGTAGATGAGCTCACAAAAGTCCATATAAAAATTTTTAAGTTGCATATATTAAACAAATTCTTGTGCCAGCCCTTTCTAAAGTCTAAACCCTCTGAAGCAGAGTAGTATCTTCTGAACCACAAAGTGAACTATGCCAGCCATTGCCCCTGTCTCCAATTAAATTGGTTCATTAGCTTGTTTTTCTAAGTGTGGTGGGAATGCAAATGACACATTCCTCCTCCTGATATTGTTGAGCTAATAAGATATCCCTGTTAGTAAAACCAAAACATCATACTATCACAAGAATCTCTGAGCTGGGATGAGAAGTGGAGAGATGGAAACTCATGGTCCCGTTGGCGATGCAAATCTGCTTCCTGCACCGATACTGCTTGGGACTCTTCCACCAGAGTTGCAGCTCGACAGTGCAAAACCACCTTGGTTTCTTTACCCTTCCAGAATCAAACCCAGCTGCAGTCTGTTTTTCAGGTGGTTGCAGTTTCTGTATTAATAAGCTTCAGTCTTCTGAAATGTGACTTCAGTCCTGACATTTAGCATAGGGAGCATGCGGCAGCTTCTCGAAACTATTTACTTGTGATCTGACGGGAACACGCTGTGGTGTATTTGCAAGAGGGACTCGGCGAAAACTGGGGGAAACCAAACTGCATGGGCTGTCCCGCTGGCTCAGTTGTAGGTTTCAGGTAGTATTACTGTAATACTTCTGTCAACTTTTGCCCTCTGTCCCCTTGCACTAGTAAGGGAGGCTTGAGGTAAGAACGTGACTGTGCCTGCTAGCTACCAAGGTCCTGCTCTGTACTGCCATGTTGAGAGCAAGCCTCCTGCTGCCAGACCATATGAGGGCTGCTTAGATAATATCATAAATCTGCAGCTGCATGGAGGTGAGAGGACATCTCAGCAGCGTGGTCACTGCTGAGGAGTGGGATAGACCTCAAAGGGATTTTCATCCCTGGTGAGGAAATGGCTGTGTTAGAACGCTACATCTGGAAGTTTTACAGTACATCAAGCAGATGGGGGACCACGGTCTTAAAGAAGATCCCTCTGGCTTGAAGGAGGAGGAGGGAATAGAGACCTAGGTAATGACCTAAGTAACTCCCTGATCTTCAGAATCGGTTGCAAAGTGCCTTATATCATGACTTCAGTGAATAATAATCATAAAGAAATCCTCTTGCCCCTTTAAAGGTACATACAGCATTTCTCTTTGATAAATCCAGGCTCATTCAGACATGATGCCTAACTTGGGAGAAATCCTTCTGTACATTGTTGGGGTTTTGTGCTTTGTTACAGTGTAATTTGTCTTTTACTAGCGTAGGTAACACGCTGTAAGGAGCGACATGGTTCCCTGTTAGTTTGAAGTAAGGCAGAGAGTAGGGTGGGCTGGCACCTTGGAGACTAATTGGTTCAAAGAAGCATGGGCTGCAAGGTGTTAAACTGATACACTGATGTGAGAAACTTAGGTTTGACTTTGCTGGTTCTTCATGGTCTTCCCGGGTGAAGTTGAGCAAGTTATTTTCATTTTTCTTTGCTTGCATTCCTCACATCTGTAAAAACACACGTCCCACCCATCCCGCAGGGGTGGGTTGTCAGGATAAATGTAGTAAGGGTTGAGAGGAGTTTGGCTACCACCATGACTATCTACAGGTATTGTTAGATAAATTTACTCAAGAATACCTTGCATCTGTGAAGACTTTTTGAATTGGGAGGATCCCAGAAGGCTTTTTTCAAACTGTACAGTATCCCTGAAATACTGCCACTTCTGAGATGAAGAGCAGCAGTTGTGCAGGCTGCCGAGGTGGCTGGTGTGAGAAGGGAAACTTCTGACCAAAGATAGCTTGGGCAAATCCTTGTTCTTGCCCAATGTGCTGTGGGACTTTTGAAGGGCTATGCAGAGCAAAATGACTTGGTAATGTCCAGTCTACAAGATCTTCTTGTAAGAAACTGCATGGAACTGATCTCAAAATACTTGCCCTCCCTATTTTGACCTTTTATAAGAACTGTTTTTTAGTGGTCCAAGATTTGGCATGTTTTAAAATGAAGCGCAGCCTGCTCAATACCCATGGAGAGAACATTTTAAAAACGTATAATTTAGCTGGTGGTGAAAAGTTCACGTCAGGTTTGATTATTTTTCTTGAGATCAAGTATGCTTGTATTTCTGCATTTAGGTGGATAATGTTTTTCTGTCCTTACTTCATACTGTTTAAATCTGTTGGGGGGTTTTTTATTTCCTCTGTTGCTTCACTGCAGGGTAAAGTGTGGCTAATAGATTTTAACCCCTTTGGAGAAGTAACAGACTCACTGCTGTTTACATGGGAAGAATTAACATCTGGGCAGAACGTGAAAGGTGACCACGGTGAAGGGGAGGCTACAGAACAGGTACAGATTTATCTGATAAATAAAACTGCATTTGTAGAGAGAATAGCTAGATGGCTGAATAGGTAGACTAGCTGCCTCAGTTCCTGTCCTGTGTGATTAGTTACTAATGTGCATTTCTGTTCACGTCAAAGGGGTATGGATTGCATCCCAGACTTTGTTTTTAGTTCATTGATTGGAAATGCCATGAAAGCAGGATTTATGTCTCCTACATTGGGCAGGCTCAACAAATAATAGCATCACGTTTTAGGGCTTTCACTACTGTCTACTACAGTGGATAGTGTTGAGAAAAAGAGAGACTATACTGCAGCTTTTACCTAATGTTTCTCTTTACTCAGTTTAGTCCTGTTAATTCCAGTTCTATCCCTTTTTATTGCATTTTAAACTGTGCCTTTTTATTTCTTCATATGTACATTTTTAACTATATGTCCTTTTACTCCATTACTCTACCAAGTTTTACTGCCTACCTTGATTGTTTTCTCTCTTTGGTTTCCCCAGTTTCACAGTTGTTTGAGCTTCTACAAATCTCCCTCTAACTCTGTCTTCCCATTACAGAGGTGCCCAAAGCTAAGCCTATTTCCTGTTCTCAGGGGAACTATTCCCCTTCAGTCATTAGTGCTTCAGTGCTTTTCCAGTTTGTGACTAACCCTGGGGCCATTTGGCCCCAGCTTAACTCCTTAGCCAGCTGGGGAAAACACTGAAAGTAGCTGTCTTCAAACTGCAGACTACTGATGGCTCAAGAAGCAGTTGCTAGCAACCTCTGGGGAACTGGCTGGATGGCAGCACTCTGAAAAAGGACTTGGGAGTCTTTGTAGATCACAGACTCAGTATGAGTCTGCAGGGTAATGCAGCTGCACAAAAAGTGAATGAGGTTCTGGGATGTGTCAGTAGAAGCATTTGGTGCAAAACACAGGAGGTGATGGTGCCTCTCTGCTCGGCACCGGTTGGGCCTCATCCGGAGCACTGTGTGCAGTTCTGGGCTACACATTTTTAAAAGGACGTAGAAAAGTTAGAGAGGGTCCGGAGGCAGACAGCAAAGACAATCAAGGGCTTGGAAAGCAAGTCATGAGGAGAGGCTGATGGAGCTGGGCATGTTCACCTTGCAGAAGAGGTGCTTAAGAGGGGACATGATAGCAGTCTTCAAATATCTGAAGGGCTGCCCTAAGGTAAAGGGAAAGCACCTCTTCTCTCTTGCTGCAGGGAGGAGGATGTGCACCATTGGCTTGAAGTGGTCTTCCACTGGGGCTCTGCGGGCTCAAGCTGTGGTGGGCGGGCTGGCGGGGGTGTCCAGCGGCACCTGTGGCGTGGCCTGGCCCGGCCTGGGCAGCTCAGCAGGGATGGGCCTCAGCCACGATGTGCGCAAGGGGATGCTGCCTGGCTGGGGCAGGACGCCCCACGAGCCCAGCGTCCTGCCCCAGCCAGGCATCGTCCCTTCGCGGCCAGGGTAGCTGTGCCCCATCCCCGCGGAGCTGCGCAGGCCGGCTGGGCCCCACCTCTGGTGCTGCTGGGCCCCCCGCTCCCCACCTGACTCCAGCTCTCTATTTACTGTAAAAAATAAATAAATAAATATATTTATTTATTTATTTATTTATTTATTTATTTATTTATTTATTTATTTATTTATTTATTTATTTATTTATTTATTTATTTATTTATTTATTTATTTATTTATTTATTTATTTATTTATTTATTTATTTATTTATTTATTTATTTATTTATTTATTTATTTATTTATTTATTTATTTATTTATTTATTTATTTATTTATTTATTTATTTATTTATTTATTTATTTATTTATTTATTTATTTATTTATTTATTTATTTATTTATTTATTTATTTATTTATTTATTTATTTATTTATTTATTTATTTATTTATTTATTTATTTATTTATTTATTTATTTATTTATTTATTTATTTATTTATTTATTTATTTATTTATTTATTTATTTATTTATTTATTTATTTATTTATTTATTTATTTATTTATTTATTTATTTATTTATTTATTTATTTATTTATTTATTTATTTATTTATTTATTTATTTATTTATTTATTTATTTATTTATTTATTTATTTATTTATTTATTTATTTATTTATTTATTTATTTATTTATTTATTTATTTATTTATTTATTTATTTATTTATTTTTAAAGCAACATAAATTATTATTAATAGTATTAAATATGCAGTGCATCCTGCCACGTACCCCCTCCGCCCCAGTTTTGTTTTTGTGGCATGCCGGCACTGTGGCACCATACAAGGTAGACATTGTGATTTTTTCAGCACTCCGGCCAAAAAACGTTGGCTACCCCTGATCTAGGCGTAGCTGTGCCTGTGTTCTACCATAGGCATGTCCCGTGCTTCTGGGCTTTCTTGGTTTTCCCACCCCATGCTTTCTGCTAGTACCCCCTCCGCCCCAGTTTTGTTTTTGTGGCATGCCGGCACTGTGGCACCATACAAGGTAGACATTGTGATTTTTTCAGCACTCCGGCCAAAAAACGTTGGCTACCCCTGATCTAGGCGTAGCTGTGCCTGTGTTCTACCATAGGCATGTCCCGTGCTTCTGGGCTTTCTTGGTTTTCCCACCCCATGCTTTCTGCTATGTGTATTAGGGTGTTTTTAAGCCTTCCTCAAAGACGTTGGGTGTTGGTGACAGCCAAGGCTGGGGACTTTGACTGGGCTGTACCAGTTCTCCTGCTGGGACCAAAGCCGGAGGTTCCTGACTAGAGGGTCTTGCCCCTCTGCTCAGGGTCAGACCGATCACCATATTTGAGGCCAGGAAGGAATTTTACCCCATGGTCAGATTGGTATGGAGGTTTTTGCTGTCTTCTGTAGCCGGGGGCATGGCCATCTACCTGGGATCTCTTGAACGTACAATGACATCATTTCATAGAGCCAGGATGTTGGTGCCATGCTTCACCTACTTTACCTGTGGCAGGTTAGGGTGTTAGGTCTGTCTTGTGTTAGGGCTGACAGCAGTCTTATGTAGAGTTTAGATTATGCTTTGCATAGGATGGTTTGTTTAGGGAGGAACCCTGTCTCAGGCAGGGGTTGGACTAGATGACCTCTGGAGGTCCCTTCCAGCCCCACTTCTCTGTGGTTCTGTTTCAAAGATACTGTGAAGCTGCAAAGGGAGATAGATGGCCTGTGTGATTGATTGATTGATTTTGACTGAGATGGTCCCCTGATGTATATGATTTCTTTTGAATCATTGAGATTGCCCTCCAGGCCAAGAAATGGTAATCAGCCAGTAAGATAAGTTCCTGAGTGATTTCTTCTGTTTTTGTATGGCCCATGCTTTGTATAGCTTCCTAGTATAAAGTTACTGTGTTTAAAGTCCTGCTCTCTAACAGCTGATGCTGCTCTGGGGTAAATCTCCTTGTATTTCCATTTTTCCCCTCTTTATAATAATTCCCTGCTTTGTAGGATGAATGTGCAAGTTTCCACCATGGGTGCTTATAAGCTACAGCACATTATCCAAGTGCTGTGGATTAGTGCATGTTAAATTAGTTTCCCCAAACCAGTGGCTAACAATGATTTTTTTTTAAATTTATTTTAACTTTCATTTCAACAAATATTTGCTAGGTAAATTCTGACCATAACTTTGGCAAAGTTTTACTTATTTATGCTGAAACCTGAAGTCCTAACTAAAAGGAGATTTTAAGACTTTTGTTGCTAAACATTATACAATTTATAAACACTATACAATTTTATAGCTGTGGGCCCAGCAGCTTTATCTGAAGTTCAGTATATCACAGAGGGAGACCAATTGTTACGGTGCTGTTACTGCTTATTCACTTTAATGCATTAATATTAGTATAATCAGGATCCTAGCGGAGGCTCTGACTTATGGGGAAAAACTCTTACCCAGGGATGGCGCCAGCCTCTTCCCAGTGGGGGGTCTGAGGTGGGCTAGACAGAAAATTGGGGCAGTTGTGCAGGAGGAGGGGCAGCACAGCCCAGAGGGAAGGAATGGTGCTGGGAGGGGTGGTTACATGGGGGCTAAGGTCCCCTGACATCCCCCCCAAGCACCACTACATTTTAATTTCTGCTGCTAATTGATTTGAGATGTTTATAGGAAACCCTAGCATTGGTGAGCGCTTTTCAATACAATTTAGATGAAATAAACATACTAGCCAAGCAGGTGAAGCTCAATTATTCTAAAGAAATCCACAGTTTTAATTGCAGTGAGATACTTTATGATGATTTGGGTGTTTTCAACCTGCTCTCTCTTTCTCTGTCTCTCTCTAAGGACTATCCAGCTTTCCGTTGCACAAACAGCGGAGTTACCGTCCAGCCTAGCCCTTACCTGAGCTACGGACTGCCCAAAGATTTTGTAGATCTTTCTACTGGAGAAGATGTCCACAAATTAATAGACCTTCTCAAACTGGTAAGCAAATCATAGTGGAGGAACTTCTGACTGTTGAGAGGAAAGTAAAGGAACATTAAAGTGCTTAAACCCTGGTGTTCTAAATCAGGGGCGTCAAAGGTGCAGCCCATGGGCCAGATGTGTCCCATAGAGTGCTGTCATCCAGCCCCCAGTGTCACTGCTGAGCGTGAATTGAGCCACATGCCACTGGACTGGCCCTTTGCTCAGAGCCCACAATACGCGCTGCTCGGGCAGTCCGGCAGGGATCTGTTCTGTAGCAGCACCCCTTTTCTGCCCCCACACCTTTTCTCTTCCCCAGCCAGCCCAGAATTCACACCACACCTGCTGTATTATAGAATTGGTTTATTTAATTTTACCTTTAATAACCCAGAACTTTCTTATCCTCAGTCAGAGCTGTCCACGTCTCAGTGGCTGGGTGCTGCATGTCCCTATGCCATATGGAGCACAACCTCCCTGCTCCCGAGTCGCATACTGCACTGGCATCCCACATGGGCACCTCTTTTGCTGTGCTGTTGTGTAGATCCCCCCTGTTATGCCTTATGCCTCCGCACTACATCATGCCAGTGCCCTGTGCTACATGGGATCACTCCCTCTGCCCTGTGGGCTGTGCCACCTTGTCCCCAGGAGAGGGGGCAGGAAGTGGTAACTGGTGGGGGAGACCCTGGCTGCAGAAGCAGGAGAGTGATGTGGGGGACGGCACCCAGGGGCCACAGGTTAACTCCTCAGGGGTCGCATGCAGCCCACAGTTGGACAGCTCTGCCCTAATTGAAGTTGTTTAATAGGATCTAAAATATGATGGATGTTCCTGGAGAAATCTGCATACCTTTTTGTTATCTGCTTTTGTTATTTGCTTAAACAAAGTGGGATCAGACTGTTATGGCTCAAAGTTGGTATTACTTTGGGTGTTACTAAAATAATTTTGTGAGGCCTCAGCAAGCTTTTACCACTCAACGGTTTTTAATTCAAACAACCTCAGTTTCTCTGTTCCTTTGACAACAATTCTTCGACGTTTTTATTGGCTCAGAATGACCTTCCCTCTACTTTTCCAGACTTGGGTGGGACAGTTGGAAGATTTTTTTTAAATGTTTTTCTTAAATCAAACATACAGTTCAACACAAGCAGAGTCTCTGGTATCGGTGTCCCAAACCACCCAGCCTTGAAGGTCAACACAGACAACTCAGATTCTACCCATAAACTGCACACTACAGAAGTGTAGTAATGTGGTTCATGATGCTGCTTGTATATCACTTGTCTTAGGCCAGTCCTCTACCAGGATGAGGACTTGCCCTTCTGCTGTGTGTGTCGTTTTTATTAGTGGCATTTTGCAGTCTACTTCATATTGTTCCACCACATCATAGGAACACTGCTACAGAGTCTAACAGGAGATATGATCAGGAAGTTTTTGACTTTCATTTAATCTCCTTTTTTCCATTTCATCCCAGGACTTCAAATTTTAACTCTTTTGTAATTCCCCAAATCATCACCTGCCTTGTTACCGGGTGTGACGGTATCTAACACTGTATTTTTGTGGTATTAATTAAGACAATTGACTGATGCCAGACACATCCCGAGACATGTTTGCCTAATGCCATTGCTGCTTCTATAGTCTTAAAAGACAGGTTTTCAATATGTGAGTCCTGTTAGGGGTTCAGATACACTCTGGTAGCACTGATGGAAGAACAGAAGAGAGAAATGCTGATATTTCTACATTTTATTTTCATACCAAATCAATTGCAAAATAAATCAGAATATCAAAACTTTTTTCAGACCAAATGCAGGGGGAAAAATGGAGAAATTGAAATTTCTCAGTTGAAATAAAACATTTAAAGATTCCTGAATTTAAATGTTCTGTCAGAGCCAAATGAAATGGTTTCTTTCCATTTCACCTGCAGCAATGGCACAAGGGGATACTGTTGAACCTGTAAAGGGATTGGATTGCTGTGGCTAGATACTATAATGAGGAGTCTCATGAAGCCTGTTAGAAAAATGTAAAAAAATTGTCTTCAGATTTTTTTCCTTCATTGTGAGTTTTGATGTCACCTTGACCATTGATTCTCCTGGTTTCTGAGTTCTTGTTTATGGACTGTTTTTACTGGTTAAGACTAGGTGGCATATTTTATTTACAATTCAGGAGAAAAAAAACTCCGTGTGAATTTGCTTTTATAAATATAAATGTTACCACATAACCTTCAAAGAATGGCTTGGAAGTATATAAAGTTGTTTTTTTTTCTAATGCCAACATCTCTAGAAAATGCTTGTAATTTTTTGATGCTTTTATTAAAAATAATTGCATATAACATGGTTAACTTTCCTGTTTCCTTGGCAGAAAAGAAATCAACAAGACGATGACTGAGAGATCATGAAATGCCAGATGAAATTTTAAGCGAGAAATGTGGCTAGATTTTTAGACTTAACTGTTAAACGTCAAAGTAAAGAAAATCTGCTTTTTGTATTCAGTGAAAGAAGTGAAGAGCTGCCAAGCCTATTTGTGTATTAGTTTAATAAATATAAAATCTAGGAAATGTTTTTCTCATGGCAACATGGTATGCTGGCTTATTGCATGTTCTACCCTCTTTCAGTGCTTTAATTAGGATCATAGGAGAGTAGGGCTGAAAGAAACCTCATGAGATCATTTTGTTCAAGGCACCGCTCAAGGCGGGATCAGCCTGGCCAGGCGTCTTTTCCAGCATGCTCTTGACAACTTCCAGGGATGGAGATCCCATAACCTCTCTAGGCAGCCTGTTCCAAATGCTCAACCATCCTCACAGTCAGAAAGTTCCTCCTGATCTCCAATCTGAACTTTATCTGCTACAGCTTGAGGCCATTTTTCCTAGTCTTAGAGCAATGGCTTCAAGCTGCAGCAGAGAAAATGTGCTGTGTTACTCTCCTGATGCAAGCAAGGATATCTACATTTGGACATAAGTAATTGAGTCCCTGGTTTTTAGCCTGGGAGCACCCACACTGATGAGAGTCACTTCAAACTGTAAGACTTTCACTCACTCAAATACACCCCACAAATAGAAAATACAAAATGTCAACTATCCCATGTATTTAATCGCATGGTTTTCAAGTACAATCTGTTGGTAAAATAATAGAGCAATTTGCAGTCTTTCCTTTGTAATTTTTTAATGGTGAGTATCCACATTGAGATTTCTCTCATTAAAGTCATCTGCTGGTAAATTGCTCAGTTAAGGATTTTAGTCATTTGAAATACTGAAATCACTTTGAATGAAGTAATATTCTTCTCAGACTGCGGCCATAGTCAGGAAATGTTCAAAGTCCAGTACTTCAAAAACCAATGTGATAAATATGCTGAAGGAATAACATTTATTTTCAAATATCTCATCCACAGCTGATGGTTTAAAAATTATATCAACAGCCTCATAATTTTATGCGGGTCTGGCTTTTCTGCTGCCGCATCCACTCACTGACTTCTCTGAGAAGATGATCTATGTCGTAATTATGATGCATTCTGGATTCATTTGACACTTTAACCCTTTCTGCTAATAGAAGGAATCTTGCAAACTGGCCAAGGATCTGGAAAACGTGTGTTCTTTACCCAGTTTTATCAACTGGCTCACTTTAAAACTTTTGCAAGTTACTTGGATGGGAATTTAGGGTCAACTGATTTTGGGCATCTCAGTTTTTGGCTACCCAGCTTTACACCTTGATGCTGATAATCAGAGGTTGCATACACAACTCCTGATGAAGTGAATGGAAGTGCAGTTCCTAGTCGCCTCTGAAAACTGGAACCTCCTCTATCTCATGCTGAGCATCCAAAAATTAATGTGTCTTTTAAAGTCAAGTCCTTTGCCTCGTAAAATGGGGATGACTCTTAAAGTAAAAAACTAAACACGGAAAAAGGTCACTTCTCATCCCTATGCAATTTCAGTTTTGAAAGACCACTTGTGGCTGAAGATTATATGGATAATGAACATGTTCTGCCTTATGCAGTTATCAAACTTGATGCTTATGCTCCTTGAAATAGCTGAATTAACAGGTGTTCTTGCAGTCTGCAATTATAAAATGTGTTTTCCTTCCTTATGAAACTGGTAAAATGTCCTTCATTGGAGATATGCAAGGAGAGTTTAGACATACATCTTTTGAGGATAGTCCAGATGGAGGGCATCCTACCTCAGAGCAGGCAGTTGAATTAGACAATCAATTGAGATCCTTTTCAGGGCTACATTTAATTCTGTGATAGAAGTTGATCTTTCATGCTTCAAATGGCGTGTGTAGGAATCTCGTAAAATTTAAGGGAACTTTTAAAACTTTCAAAAGCATTAAAGCCAGAGAAAGGACTGTTGTGATCATCTAATCAGACCCTTCTGTATTACCCTGACGTCTTAGGTGAAATCCTATGTCAGTCTGATTCCTGGTGAAGCCTAGTGGTGGAGAATCCACTGCTTCCCAGTAGCAAGATCCAGCATTTAATGATCCTTTATCGCAGGTCCCCAACCTGGACCCTCACCAGATGCTCTGTATGGTGCACCATGCACCATGGTTTGTATTGCTGTTTCCTTCTTCCTCTGCTTGTCCTGAGGTTATAGGATGACTGCTATAATAAAATGTCTCTTTATTCCTTTCTTCCTCCACTGCTTCATTGGTCTCTGTGAGCCCTTCTGAATAACCCTCTGTCAGGTCATTCCATGATCTGCCTTGTCAAGTCTTTGCAGTCCCTCATCCAGTGATTGGTACTTCTCTTCCTGCTGCGAGTTCAGACCCAACGAGTGGTTTCTCCCAGGGTGGATTTGATTGAAATCAAATTGATTTAAATTGTGATTTTAAATCACTGGTCAGGAAGCCTTGTTTTAATCATTGTTTTCTACAAAAAGTGAATGCTTGTTGTTTGATATAACTTTATATATATCATTCACAACTCAGAGAGAGGGGTATGTTTCATTTTTAGAGGGTACACATGCATTTTAAAGCAGTGATTTATTTTGATGTTTTTTTCAGATTAATTTTGCAGCTACATCAGAAAAGTGAATTAGGGTTTGGTTATTTTATTGGCTAAAGCAAATTTGAAGCAGATACTTGGGAAGTCATTGGGAAGTGAACTAGGATCAGATCTTTACAGTGTGCAGCTAAAAGCTTGAGCAAAAAGTATTTGATTTTCAATTAGATAGTAAGTATAGAAATTGCTGGAGAAGGGAGGGAGTACAGACACTAGAAAACAACTACCAGATAGCAGCATCTTTATAAAGTAGCTGGGTTTGCTCTGCATCTGAGTTGCACATCAACTGGATGTGACAGTCATGGTTCTTGAATAGCAGATCTGCCAAGAGTGCTAATGAAAATACTCCATTATTCCTCAGTCGGAATTGTTTTCAATTTTTCAGCTGGACAGCAGTCTATCAATCCTCTACTAGCATCTCCTAGTAAAGATATTGGGTCTTTAAAAAAATTACTAAGAGTAAAAGTTACACCCATTTAAAGTTACCTCCTTAATGAAGAGGAGTCAGATGAACCTACCCTTATTTGTGGCTTTAATTCCAGGGTTGTCTCATGTTTTTGTTCCCTTGGATCTTCAGCTTTCCTGATGCCTTTCTTGTTTTCCCTTAGCCCTCCACTCCAGTATTTGGATTAATCTGAACACTGGAATAAGAAGCAGCACAAATAATATTGAACTGAACCAAAGACTCAGCTTCTCTGTGTAACACTTTCTATGTGTATATTTTCTGGTTTCATTTGCTGAGTGTGTGTCTGGAAAGAAAACTATAAATAGGGAAAGTGGTTTTTGTTTCCCCCCCTCCTTTACTATATGTCCCCTTGAGCAAAATGAATACCACCTGTTGGATTTTAGTTGCCTTATATGGCCATGAAATCCTCATGAGCATATTTCGCATTCTTAGGCACTCTGTATTAGTCTTCCGCACATCTTTGTGTGTCTACATATAACCTAACACCCGGGCCACAAGGCAAAGCAGTCGAAACCATAGACACAAATAAGGAAGAATATAGACCTTAGGAAATATAATCTCTATGCAGCCTTTTATTGGTATATTGCCAGATGTAAAAACTTGATGACAAGTGGTCAAAGCTGGCATTTTTGGTCATGTCAAGATGGGCATTGGAATAAAAGACAACCATGGTTAAAAATAGATAGTGCTTCCTTCCTACATTTGAGACAGTTTGTCTTTCACATGCTGACGTGCGTCTACTGTCTCTTCTTGCTGGAGAAGAGTACCGATAACAGCATCTGGTAGTGTGGCAGCCAAAATGTAAACGGGCAAATCAGTTTGGCAATTTGTGAATATCTTTCTTCTGAAGGAATAGGTCATGCACCAAGGCTGCATTTGGGGAGGTTTTGAAGAAAACTGTAATTTTATGGAATAAAGTGTACAGATGTCTGCACAAACAACCCTGTAGCTGGTGGAAGACCCAAAATAAGTTGGCTTTTGGCACACAATAAATTAAAGGCTTAATATGGGAGTGTTGAATTGAACATAGACTATTTTATTCAGTAGTAGAATTAAATTCCTAAATCTTATTTTTTTTATTATCATAACAAAAGCTTAATTAGATATAGGGTTTGCAGCATCTTAATCTCTGCTGAATTTTGTTACGTGTCTGAGGTAACGATTAGCATTCAAGTCCAATACTAATTCTGAGACTTTAATTAAAGGAGCATTTCTTTGCATAATTGATCCCTTATCCTGTGCAGGCTTGTTAGAGTCCTTTAGTGACCATGTCTGGTGATAGTATTTTTATTATAATAAAAATCTAACACAGTTGTTTGCTTGGGCATCTTACTTTCTATTAAATATTGCAATAAAGCATAACAGCAGTTATAGCAAGTACTATCTGGGTGCTCTCGTTAGAACTACTCCGAAATTTGTCAGTAGTGATTTCAGACAGAAAATTCTGATTCATCGAAATGTTTTGTGCCGCTTTCAAGTAAGGAGTTCTCTGGTTTAGGGTAGGATTTCTGGCTGGGAGACATACAGATAGACCCACCTGGGTGCACGTTGAAGGGTCAGTCAGGGAATTTATGGGGGCTGAAATGGAGCAGGTGCTGAGGTGGTTGGCCCAGCACCAGGCTGTGGTCAATGAGCAAGCTCAAAAATAGGAGACCGAGACTGAAGATACGATGCCCCTCCAATTTCACCAGGCAGAGACTTCACAAATTAGTGCTGGAAAACCAAAACATGATAGCAAGTGCATCTGCCAGCAACATAGGGAGGAGAGGTGGGCTTGCTTTTGCTAGGGGTTGTGTGCACGACGAACAAAGATGACCCGGAAGCATTTATAAAAGTGTTTAAGCGAATTTATAAAAGGGTTCGATGAAACAGACTGGCAGCAGTTCTGGAAAAAGAAGGGTGCTGAAGCCCTCGGTCCCTGCCAGTTGGCACAGTGGCTCAGATGCAAGGCCACCGGCTGGCTCTGGAGGAGCTGTTAGAGCAGGTAGTGCTACAACAGTTAGTCTGGGACCTGGAGGATGGAGTGAAGGGCTGGGGGAAAAGACATCAGCCTCTAACTAGAGGAAGATGTAAAATTAGCAGAAGATTATTCTGCAGCAAGGAAGGGACCAGGGCAAGGGCAAGAGAAAAGGGAAGGGGACCTAGAGAGCCGGAGTGAGTGCAGGTCTGCCCAGCTACCCAGGGTGTCACGGCCACCCTTGGGGCCAGGCATTTACTACATCCTTTCATGCAGGATGCTGAAATGTCTTCTGATAACTGTAACACTTACCCTGGGATAAACTTACCAGATGAGAAGCTGATAAAACTCACCAGTAAGCAAATAAGAGTGAAAGGTAGAATTTGTGTTGGGCAGATGACTTTGAAAACTAATAGAGTCAAAGTAGAGATAAGAGAGAATAATAGGACAATGTGCTGAGCATCTGAGACATTTGTGTACAAATGCTAGGAATATGGGAAATAAGTTCAAGTCAGACTACTCAACCCAAATGGTGACTTAATCAGCATTAAAAGATGGGACTGGCATATTGTTATTGAAAGGCCTGGTGTTTTCAGGAAGAACAGGCCTGAAGATATGGAGAACGGGGGAAGTGGTTGCACTGTACATTAGGAACGTATGTACTTGGAAGGTCAAGAAGAGGTGCAGCTGGTCTGTTTGTACGTCTCCAAGCAGAGGTGGAATTAGCCGTGTTAGTCTGAAGTCAAGTAAAAGGCAGAGTAGATCCTGCCTTCTACTTGACTTCATGCTAACATGACTTAACTATGTCTCTCTGCTCATGGAGGGCAACTCTTAGCCAAATGAAATGGGCTGCAGTCAATCTACACAAGATCTATCAGGTGCAAATCTACCCTGCTATATACTTGAATATCTGCGAGTGCAAATAAGAATAGGGAGACTGTCATGCTAGGGTCCACTATAAACCAGGGCAGAGGAGATGGATGAGGCTTTTTCTGAGCAACCACAAGAAGCATCCAAGGACCAGAAACTGCTCGTAATGTGAACTCCTTGTTGCCCAGACATGGGCTGGAAAAGCAGTGGAGCTGAACCCAGATAGTTCATCAAGATCTTGCAGTCCGGTGGGGACAATTATTATTTTCCCAGAACATCGAGGAACTTAGTAGGGGGCAGCAGCTATTTTAGACTTGACTCTGTTTAACAGGAACTGGCTGGGAATCAAAAGGTGGAAGGTAAGTTGGGGTGTAAGTGATCATAAAATTACACTGTGCACTCTCAGAAGAAAATAAGCTGAAGGTACTCAAATAAGGAATAGTCTTAAAAAAAACAAACTCCAGACTTCAGTAAACTCAGAAAACTGGTAGGAAGAGTCTGTTGGTAAGAGAATCTAAGGGACAAAGGAGGGCAGGAGAGCTGGCAGTTGTTGATGCATGTCAGTGTTGTTATCTCCTCCATTACTGCTGGTCGGGTTGGGTATTACTGGTCACGGTGGGCTCCTTCCATTTGAATGGTTTGTGCATGCTGTCACAATTCAGTCGCGATGCTGTGTCCCTAACAAGTTCACTAGTCCAAGAAAGAGAGCGTAGAGTTTGGTTCGTAGTAACAAAAACAGTCAAATTTATTGTCACCAAACCTAGATGCTAGCATCTGTGACCAACTGATCCACGGTGTCAGCTGGGTCTTTTGCAGGCATGAACATAACCCCAAAGGCCAGTACAAAGCATTAAGCGTTCCCAAGCATCTTTTTATACACTGATCACAACAACTTTGTGTTTACAAGAGGTGCAGCAGTTTTCCCCCGTTACTAAAAGGGTTTTAGGTGATGACATCCACATCCTACTTCTTACCAAGAAGTGCAACAAGATGCAGACACCTGTGGCCAGGTCACTCTGACCTTTGGTTTTTGTGTTCAATACTGGTGGCATCAATTCACTCTCTCTCTGTTGCTCTTGGGAGCTGAGAACTAACGACTGACTTTTCCAGCCCTTTCACGCAAGCTGTGTGTGCTATGCCTGGTTTTGTGCTCATTGGTGCCTACTTCAATTCATCCGTATATATACATATATTTGTATATGTGCTGACTAGTGTTAGCGAAGCCTGCAATCATTACTGGAAAAAAATTACTAATGTCTTGGTGTCAATCTGTCCTGATGTGAAGAAGACAGAGGAAGCGCAATAAGAGACCAATGTGGCTGCATTAGGAGCCTCTTTAAAGATGTGAAAATCAAAAAGAAGTACAATTGTATAAAAAATGCAAAGAGTTTCACATAATTGATGAGCTTCAAGAAATAGCCCAGGCTCCACGGGGTCAATTCAAATGGTTAAGGTGTTACCATTAGCAAAGATAACAAGAAACCATTCTTTAAAAGCATGAGAAGTAAGAGGAAGGACAGCAAATGGCATGTGATGCAGAAGGCTGCAATATTTTGCTTTAACGATAAAGGGTTAATTATAACCAGAAACTTAACACAAATAATTTAAAACTAAAGAGTAAAAGTGCAGGCCAATTGGAAAAGAACAAATCTGAAGTAATTAATAAGTGTATGTGTGTGCCCAGCAGCAGGGCCTGAGGACATTCACCCTAGACTACTTATAGGCAGCAAAAAAACAAAAACCCAAACCCCAAAATCTCCAAACAGTTAGTGATCATTTTTGAGACTCATGGAGGATGAGGCAGGCCTATCAGACTGGAGGAGGAAGGGCTTAGACCAGTCCTGCTACCTTAAATACTCAAGAAAGTACTAGAAGAAATTATTGAACAATTACCTGGTAGACAACTACAGGACAATAAGATAAAACTTGGCCAATATGCATTTGTCAGGAAGAAATCAATCTAATTTATTTGTCTGAAAAGCTAAGTGGCTTGGTGAGCAGGGGCACTATGGGCTATATCTTGATTTTAGTAAGATTTTTAACCACCACCACATCACTCATGAACACACTCAGGGAAAATGGTCTAGATGAAATCACTGTAAGATGGGTTTGCTACCTCGTTAGATAGGGCGCAGCCGCAGAGAATAGTTTATTAATGGTTCACTGTCAAACTGGAAGGACATTTCAAGTGGGGCTTGCCAGGACCTGTCCTGTGCCCAGTTCTTTTCAGTATATTCATAAATTACTTGAATGATGGAATAAAATGCACACAAAATGTGCAGATGGCACTAAGATGAGAGAGGGCACAAGCATTTTGGAGGACAGGATCAGAAATAAAAGTGCTCTTGATGGATTGGACAAATGGCCCAAGATCAACAAAATTAATGTAAATGGAGACATGCCAAGCCCTACACCCATGAGGGAGAAATTAAATGTGCAAATACCAAATAGGCAATGCTTGGCTAGGCAGCGGCACTGCAGCACAGCATCCGGACTAATAGCAAATCGCAAAGTAAACATGAGTCAACAATGTGACGCTGTTTCCAAAATGGTAAATCTCAATCTGCGCTGTACAAACCGAAGCATCATATGCAGGAGCCAGGAGCTATTTACTGTGCTCCACTCAGCACTGGCAAGGCCTTAGCTGGACTGCTGTGTTTAATTGTGAGCACCACGTTTTAAGAAAGATCTAGACAAATTTGTTCTGTTGTGCTCTTTCCAAGGTGAATGGAAAAAGTTTGGAAATCAAGGCCTACGGTGAAAAGTTGAAGAAACGGCTTTATTTAATCAACAAAAGACTTTAGGGGAGGGTATAGTGATGGTCTCCCAATACATTTGTAAGTTCATATGATGATAAGAAGGATGGTCAGTTCTTTCCATGTTGAGGTCAGGGATAAGACACAAAAAACACTCCCCAAAAAACTAGCTTAACTTACACCAAAGTAATTCTCTCTTAAAAGGAAAAAAAAAAATCCAACTATGAGTGTAATTCAAAACTGTCAGACAACCTAGGGAGGTTATATGGAATCTCTTTAAATGAAAGTTTTAAAGAAAAGGTTATAAAACATCTGTCAGTGACAGTTAAAGTATACTTGATGCTGCCTTAGTGTAGGGAGATGCGCAATAAATGATCTTTTGAGGTCCCTTCCAGCCTTGCATTTCTATGATACTCCGGAGGTCACTACTTTGGACAGTTTCAACGTGTGGGTGAACTGAGGGCCCGTTACTGCTCGTTGCAGATGATGGGAGTTCTTTGGCACCAGCCATGTTAGGCTTGATTTAGGGAAGAGTGAGCGCGTCTATGCGGGTGCTTTAATGCACATTAGCCTTTTTTAATGTGCATTAAAGCATCACTAAAATAATGCTTTTTTAGTTAATGAGCATTAAAATAGGCTAATGTGCATTAAAGCATCACTAAAATCTCTGGATGCCTAAACACGAGCGTAGAGGCTGCTCGGACACGCTGGAAGTCCAGCATGTCGAT